AACCATGACTCCTCATTGGGCTGCAGATTCTCCGGTGGTACCTTCACAACATAACCTGAATCGAGGAGTTTCTGTATTTCAGTTTCATACACCTGAACTTTCTCTGTGTCTTTGCTGAGATGCTTCTCAGTGTTCCTGAGGCGGGACAAGACTGACTCCTTGGTTCCTCTCAAAGGTGGGCCATCCCGTGCACGAATGAGTGGAGTAGCGTATCGCCAGATGCCATTAACTTCTACACGTTGTGTTTCGGTCTCCAGCATATTCACAGCTGCTTGATCCTGTTTTGACCGTGTTACCAGCTTTTTACTGCGGTATGGGAGGACGTCCAGTTGCCACAGCCGCTCAACATGTTGGTAAACAGGATCTCGAATTGGAGTAAGGGAAGTGAATAAGCATTGTGATGACGGTACCTGATGTGGGAGAAGTCCATCTGGTCCCTGGAGAACCCAACCGAGCTGTGTACGTACAGCTGCCGGTCCACCAGCTGGTCCTAGTCTGATGGGCTCTTTCGCTGTGATCAGGTTTGGGTAGTCAGACCCGATTAGAAGAAGGGGCTGCACCTTATCAAAGGATGGAAGATGAATCCCTCTGAGGTGGTAATAGCATTGCTGAAGCCTCTTAATGGGATAAGTTTGCTCAGTTAATGTAAGGAGAGGAGCAGTAAACACATTTGTGAGTCTGTACTTCTCATTTGGACTTGACTGTGTGGAAAGCAGCAGGTCAATTGACTGTCCTTTCAAATCTGTGACATCATGTCTGATGGTGCGAAGGGCCATAGTCTCTTCCCTACCCGCAAGTCCTAGCTGCTGAACCGCTGCTGGAAGAACAATACTCCGTTGGGCCCCATCATCTAGGATAGCATATGTTGGTACAGACCTCTTGCCTTTCCACAGCAGTACTGGGACAACTTTCAGGTAAACACGTCCTGTGGAGCTAGGGGAAGTCAGATATGCTCGATCAGCAGACATTGTAAGCAAAACAAGGTTGGAACCCTCCTGGGCGATGGAATGCAGGACACAGAGGTGTATATTGCCACATTCTCTACAAGGCTTCTTTAGCGTGCATTCCTCACATTTATGACTTGTACGACCACATTTCCAACATCTCTTGCCGTCCTTTATCCACTTGAGAATCTGTTCAGTTGAGCGCTGAGTGATTTCACTGCACTGAGACAAGTAGTGCTCTTGACTTTTACAGAACAGACACAGACGTTTCAGTTTCTGGACTAATTGTTGACCATGAGCGGGCTCAGGGTGGACATAATGTACTGTACTGACCTCCTTGGGTTGGTCGCTGCCATGATAAACTGCAGTGAATCGAGTTTGGGGCTTCGGCATGGGCTGACGTTCCCTCCGTGGGACTTGAACTCTCTCCGTCTGGTAGCGCTGTACCATTTTAGATGACAGACGCTGAGCCTCTGCCTTCACTTTCAACCAGTCAGCGAGGTCATGGAGGTTATACGGGTTGAGGCTGTTAGTGCTCAGTCGGCCTCGTAACTGGAGGTGCTCAATGAAACTATCTCTGTAATGCTTGGGTAGCTTACTGAGTAGTCTGTCGACATGGCCCGTGCAAGTGAGTTCTCGTCCTTGTGGCCCCTCAAGTGACATCAACATGCCTACTAACAAGTCAACATTGAGTGCAAAACTCTGAAAAGCCTTTGCATCCCCAGCTCTAATATCAGGCGAATTCAACAGAGATGCAATTTCACTTTGTGCCAGCTGATGAGGTTGGCCATACTGCCGTTGCAATGCTGTCATAGCTTCTGCATAGGGCGCAGGATGATGTCGGCATGCTTGGGCTATTAGCCTTGCTTCCTCCAGAACCAACTGCTCCATTAGCACCCTGTATTTATAATGTTCAGTAAGCTCAGTGTGAGGATTGAGGAGATTGTCCAAAGCCATCTTCAAATCCGTAAACTCTCTCTCACTATCATTCACGAGCTTCGGTAATTTGGGGATTGGAACTGGCTGGAGTGGAAGTGCTGCAGGTATTGGCTGATAAACAGGAGTTGGAGGTGGTGGCGGGTACATCACTGGAGAGTCATACCACATCTGTCCTGGAATATGTGTGGAAGGCTGAGTGACATAATACCCGGGGAACGATGATGGAGGTCGATTAGGGTCTGGCATGGTGAATGACTGCCGTTGTGGTTGGCATGGCACAGCAGTCTGTAACTGATAGACCGGTGGAACACAAGTTGTGTAAGCTGTGGTAACTAGAGGCAGCTTCACCGATGTAACAGTACGTGGCAATGATGAGGTAAGCTGATATGAAGGACGAAAATCTGGTATGCTCGATCTGGTATGCTCGAATAAGGTTTGCTGATTCAGCGTCACATGTGGTGCAGGTAAATGCGAAACACCAAAGTATGGCGGAGTCGAACCATATGTGGTATTATTAGCCTTAGTTTGTGTCATGTGCCACGGGGCTGACTGTTGAGAAATGTCTCTGGTGGACATAGCAGCTGGGAATGACTGGCTAGCATACTGGATTGGTATAGATGGCGCTGCAGTAGCTTTCAGTCTGACCACAGGCGGTGAAATAGCTCTAGCCTGTTCTTCATCTCTAAGTGAAGGTGAAACAGAACCACTGCTGAGTGAGTCATATGCGGATTGACTGTGATATTCTCTTTGAGCTACCGGTGAACTAGAATGACTTACAGATCTCTCAGCATCTTGCTGTCTAGCAAAAACACCAGATCCATTATCAACGCTGCCTGTATGACATGTAGCTTGACCTGCTCCATACTGCACCAGAGATAACTCACTCATGGGAAGCTGATCCACAGTCGAGACTGGCTCGGCCTGTCCACTGAGGTTTAGCTGTGCTGTTGGGTGATACATCCTTGGATGGTGGTATGAACTGTCGTACAGCGCATGTTCTGGTATGAGAGATTTAGGTAATGTAATGTCATAAGCTTCCAGACGTGTTGAGAGCTGACGTGCTCTGGCCTGTAGTCGAACAGGATGCGTGGTATCAGGAGAGTAATGTTGACTCTGTTGTTCCATGTCACCGTAATGAGTGTAGCAATCCGGCTCGAAGGACCAAATGTTGCGGACTGTAGGGTTTGAATATAGGTAGGTGAATGCTCATCCACTACGGGGCTCCGATAAGAAGCGTGACAGGAGACAGGGAACTGTTAAACTCTTTATATGAATGTTCACACGCATTGGCATCATCCAGCTGTACTGAGTTTTCTATTACAAGGTATTGAATGTGGTTTTTCTAGAATAAACAGAATAAAAGATACATCAGTGTATGTCTAATAACTTAAAGTTACACAAACATAAACAGCAACTCACTACTGACACATTATTTAAGTATAAACCAACGTCACATAAGATTACAGCTGCAACCATATACACGTGAATTCTCCGTATATAACTCTCATATTATGATGTTGTGCACAATGTAAAGTTCGATTGCACTAGTTAAATATTTGAATACAACAATGTAACAAACATAAATCAACTTATCACTGTAAATAAATGAATAACTTACATTCAATCACGCACATTAACACCTGAGGAAAATGTCGGAGAAAACGGCTGGTGAAAGTGAAAGTAAACACAATAGCGGACTACCGGAAACTAACGCTACCTAACAGCGCAGCGTATACAGTAATCATTCATAATAAAAGTCATTCTCGTACTCTTATATAGGGAATTAGAACAGTGTGTGTGTGTGTTAGAGTGTATGTGTGTGTGTGAGAGAGTGTATGTGTGTGTGCGTGGTGTATGTGTGTGAGTGAGTTTGTATGTGTGTGTTAGAGTGTATGTGTGAGTGGTGTGTGTGTGTGTGTGTGTGAGTGGTGTATGTGTGAGAGAGAGTGTTTGTGTGTGTGCGAGTGGTGTATGTGTGAGAGAGAGTGTTTGTGTGTGTGTGTGAGTGAGAGTGGTGTGTGTGTGAGAGAGTGTGTGTGAGTGAGAGTGGTGTGTGTGTGAGAGAGTGTGTGTGTATGTGTGAGAGAGTGTGTATGTGTGTGAGTGTGTGTGTGAGTGAGAGAGTGTATGTGTGTGAGAGAGAGTGTGTATGTGTGTGAGTGTATGTGTGTGTGAATGTGTGAGACAGTGTGTGTGTGTGAGAGTGTGTGTGAGTGAGAGTGGTGTGTGTGTGTGAGTGTGTGTGTGTATGTGTGTGAGAGAGTGTGTATGTGTGTGTGTGTGTATGTGTGAGAGAGTGTGTGTGTGAGTGAGAGTGGTGTGTGTATGTGTGTGAGAGAGAGTGTGTATGTGTGTGAGTGGTGTATGTGTGTGTGAATGTGTGAGAGTGTATATATGTGTGTGTGTGTGTGTGTGTGTGTGTTAGAGTGTATGTGTGTGTGAGAGAGTGTGTATGTGTGTGTGTTAGAGTGTATGTGTGAGTGGTGTGTGTGTGAGACAGGATAAAGATCACGCAAGCGTTCACACGTGTGTAGCAGCTCATGGGAGTGTGTTTATTGTGTAGTAGAGTGTGCAAACATGTGCTTTAACCAAAGCTGAATAACCATCATAAACAGACCTGGATACACACGTTAACCCTCGGGACACACACTCCTCCCTCCTCACACACACTCCTCCCATCATCCTGCTGATTCTCCATATATATCCAACATCCCTACGGAGGCCCTGGAGGGACACGCTGACGGAAACACACACAGCGATGCCTCTGTGTTGAGAAACGTTATGATAACACTTTACACTACGGTTCATCAGCTCACATGCACCAAGAGCGAACAATACTTCAGCATTTATTAATCTTAGTTAATATTAAATTCAACATTTACTAATACATTATTAAAATCAAAGGTTGTATTTGTTAGCATTAGTTAATGCACTGAACTAACATGAACAGCTGGATTATTATTAACTAAGATTAATAAATACTGTAACAGATGTGTTGCTCATGGTTAGATCATGTTCGTTAATGCATTAGCTAATGAAGCTTATTGTACAGTGTGACCAGCGTCTCCATCATCGTGTCCCTTTAGAGGCTCCGTACGTTTACAGAAGACAAAAGAGTAGGAAAAATAATTAATTTACAAAATATAGTTTTGTATAAAATGCATCTTTCTGTACAAACGTGTCATCATTTACATTCAGCCGAAGCTCTTTCTGAGGTAGAACGTGTCTAGTTTTCGCTCGTCCTGGTTGGAGGAACGTAAAGTCACATGACGTGCCGCTACGAGGCGGGAAAGTTCGTCCTGTTGTCGAAGGGCGTCTCGTACACGTCGAGGTCCGGGTGAGTGCCGGCGTATGGGTTCTCCTGAAGCACGACTCCGGGATGAGGACGCCACGCTTTCCCGAACGTTCCTGAGAACACAGGGGTCACACACACATCATTCAACAGCCAATCAACTGCTGAGGGATGAACCCAAGCCACGCCCATTTATCTAGAGACTTGCGTTCATGCGTTTCCTAGCAATCAATCCCATGATGCTTTACTGAGCGAGTGAATATCTTGTAGTCAAATATACAGAAATGTATTACATTAAAGTTTGCAGTGTGTGTGTGTGTGTGTGTGAGTGAGAGAGAGTGTGTGTGTGTGTGTGTGAGTGAGAGTGAGTGGATGTGTGTGTGTGTGTGTGTGTGTGTATGTGTGAGTGAGAGTATGTTTGTGTTTGTGTGTGTGTGTCTGTGTGAGTGAGAGTATGTTTGTGTTTGTGTGTGTGTGTGTGTGTGTGTGTGAGAGAGAGTGATCAGTTTGCAGAAGCAGTGCTCTCTCACCCATATATGAAGCCGGGGAGCCCAGAACACACTCTCCTCGCACACACTCCTCCACACACTCTGTGTCGGCGGGCAGCATCGTCATCATGTGATCGAAGGGTTCGAGGGCGGAGCTACAGGTGTAGAACTCCCAGTTCCTGCTGAAGGATTCGCTGCAGACGAGCCTCGGGTCTGAGGAGGAGAACCACACGACTCATCAGCTCAGGGGTCATGTGACCGCGTCATCTCTGGGGTCATGTGAACGCATCATCTCTGGGGTCATGTGAACGCATCATCTCTGGGGTCATGTGAACGCATCATCTCTGGGGTCATGTGAACGCATCATCTCTGGGGTCATGTGACCGCATCATCTCTGGGGTCATGTCTCTGGGGTCATGTCTCAGGGGTCATGTGACCGCGTCATCTCTGGGGTCATGTCTCTGGGGTCATGTCTCAGGGGTCATGTGACCGCGTCATCTCTGGGGTCATGTGACCGCGTCATCTCTGGGGTCATGTCTCTGGGGTCATGTGACCATGTCATGTCTCAGGGGTCATGTGACCGCGTCATCTCTGGGGTCATGTGACCGCGTCATGTCTCTGGGGTCATGTGACCGCGTCATCTCTGGGGTCATGTCTCAGGGGTCATGTGACTGCATCATCTCTGGGGTCATGTCTCAGGGGTCATGTGACCGCATCATCTCTGGGGTCATGTCTCAGGGGTCATGTGACCGCATCATCTCTGGGGTCATGTCTCAGGGGTCATGTGACCGCGTCATGTCTCAGGGGTCATGTGACCGCGTCATCTCTGGGGTCATGTCTCTGGGGTCATGTGACCGTGTCATGTCTCAGGGGTCATGTGACCGCGTCATCTCTGGGGTCATGTGACCGCGTCATCTCTGGGGTCATGTCTCTGGGGTCATGTGACCGTGTCATGTCTCAGGGGTCATGTGACCGCGTCATCTCTGGGGTCATGTGACCGCGTCATGTCTCTGGGGTCATGTGACCGCGTCATCTCTGGGGTCATGTCTCAGGGGTCATGTGACTGCATCATCTCTGGGGTCATGTCTCAGGGGTCATGTGACCGCATCATCTCTGGGGTCATGTCTCAGGGGTCATGTGACCGCATCATCTCTGGGGTCATGTCTCAGGGGTCATGTGACCGCGTCATGTCTCAGGGGTCATGTGACCGCATCATCTCAGGGGTCATGTCTCAGGGGTCATGTGACCGCGTCATGTCTCTGGGGTCATGTCTCTGGGGTCATGTGACCGCGTCATGTCTCAGGGGTCATGTGACTGCATCATCTCTGGGGTCATGTCTCAGGGGTCATGTGACCGCATCATCTCTGGGGTCATGTCTCAGGGGTCATGTGACCGCGTCATGTCTCAGGGGTCATGTGACCGCATCATCTCTGGGGTCATGTCTCAGGGGTCATGTGACCGCATCATCTCTGGGGTCATGTCTCAGGGGTCATGTGACCGCGTCATGTCTCAGGGGTCATGTGACTGCATCATCTCTGGGGTCATGTCTCAGGGGTCATGTGACCGCATCATCTCTGGGGTCATGTCTCAGGGGTCATGTGACCGCGTCATGTCTCAGGGGTCATGTGACCGCATCATCTCAGGGGTCATGTCTCAGGGGTCATGTGACCGCGTCATGTCTCTGGGGTCATGTCTCTGGGGTCATGTGACCGCGTCATGTCTCAGGGGTCATGTGACTGCATCATCTCTGGGGTCATGTCTCAGGGGTCATGTGACCGCATCATCTCTGGGGTCATGTCTCAGGGGTCATGTGACCGCATCATCTCTGGGGTCATGTCTCAGGGGTCATGTGACCGCGTCATGTCTCAGGGGTCATGTGACCGCATCATCTCAGGGGTCATGTGACCGCATCATCTCAGGGGTCATGTCTCAGGGGTCATGTGACCGCGTCATGTCTCTGGGGTCATGTGACCGCGTCATCTCTGGGGTCATGTCTCAGGGGTCATGTGACCGCGTCATGTCTCTGGGGTCATGTTTTTTGGGGTCATGTGACCGCGTCATCTCTGGGGTCATGTCTCTGGGGTCATGTGACCGCGTCATCTCTGGGGTCATGTCTCTGGGGTCATGTGACCGCGTCATCTCTGGGGTCATGTCTCTGGGGTCATGTGACCGTGTCATGTCTCAGGGGTCATGTGACCGCGTCATCTCTGGGGTCATGTCTCAGGGGTCATGTGACCACGTCATCTCTGGGGTCATGTCTCTGGGGTCATGTGACCGTGTCATGTCTCAGGGGTCATGTGACCGCGTCATCTCTGGGGTCATGTGACCGCGTCATGTCTCTGGGGTCATGTGACCGCGTCATCTCTGGGGTCATGTCTCTGGGGTCATGTGACCGCGTCATCTCTGGGGTCATGTCTCAGGGGTCATGTGACCGCATCATCTCTGGGGTCATGTCTCAGGGGTCATGTGACCGCGTCATCTCAGGGGTCATGTCTCAGGGGTCATGTGACCGCGTCATCTCAGGGGTCATGTCTCAGGGGTCATGTGACCGCGTCATGTCTCTGGGGTCATGTGACCGCGTCATCTCTGGGGTCATGTCTCAGGGGTCATGTGACTGCATCATCTCTGGGGTCATGTCTCAGGGGTCATGTGACCGCATCATCTCTGGGGTCATGTCTCAGGGGTCATGTGACCGCATCATCTCAGGGGTCATGTCTCAGGGGTAATGTGACCGCGTCATCTCAGGGGTCATGTCTCAGGGGTCATGTGACCGCGTCATCTCAGGGGTCATGTCTCAGGGGTCATGTGACCGCGTCATGTCTCTGGGGTCATGTGACCGCGTCATCTCTGGGGTCATGTCTCAGGGGTCATGTGACTGCATCATCTCTGGGGTCATGTCTCAGGGGTCATGTGACCGCATCATCTCTGGGGTCATGTCTCAGGGGTCATGTGACCACGTCATCTCTGGGGTCATGTCTCTGGGGTCATGTGACCGTGTCATGTCTCTGGGGTCATGTGACCGCGTCATCTCTGGGGTCATGTGACCGCGTCATGTCTCTGGGGTCATGTCTCAGGGTCATGTGACCGCATCATCTCAGGGGTCATGTGACCGCATCATCTCAGGGGTCATGTCTCAGGGGTCATGTGACCGCGTCATGTCTCAGGGGTCATGTCTCTAGGGTCATGTGACCGCGTCATCTCTGGGGTCATGTCTCTGGGGTCATGTGACCGTGTCATGTCTCTGGGGTCATGTGACCGCGTCATGTCTCTGGGGTCATGTGACCGCGTCATGTCTCTGGGGTCATGTCTCTGGGGTCATGTGACCGCGTCATCTCTGGGGTCATGTCTCTGGGGTCATGTGACCGTGTCATCTCTGGGGTCATGTGACCGCGTCATGTCTCTGGGGTCATGTGACCGCGTCATCTCTGGGGTCATGTCTCTGGGGTCATGTGACCGTGTCATCTCTCTGGGGTCATGTGACCGTGTCATGTCTCTGGGGTCATGTCTCTGGGGTCATGTCTCTGGGGTCATGTCTCTGGGGTCATGTGACCGCGTCATGTCTCTAGGGTCATGTCTCTGGGGTCATGTGACCGCGTCATGTCTCTGGGGTCATGTCTCAGGGGTCATGTGACCGCGTCATCTCTGGGGTCATGTCTCTGGGGTCATGTGACCGTGTCATGTCTCTGGGGTCATGTGACCGCGTCATCTCTGGGGTCATGTGACCGCGTCATGTCTCTGGGGTCATGTCTCAGGGTCATGTGACCGCATCATCTCAGGGGTCATGTCTCAGGGGTCATGTGACCGCGTCATGTCTCAGGGGTCATGTCTCTAGGGTCATGTGACCGCGTCATCTCTGGGGTCATGTCTCTGGGGTCATGTGACCGTGTCATGTCTCTGGGGTCATGTGACCGCGTCATGTCTCTGGGGTCATGTGACCGCGTCATGTCTCTGGGGTCATGTGACCGCGTCATGTCTCTGGGGTCATGTCTCTGGGGTCATGTGACCACGTCATCTCTGGGGTCATGTCTCTGGGGTCATGTGACCGTGTCATCTCTGGGGTCATGTGACCGCGTCATGTCTCTGGGGTCATGTGACCGCGTCATCTCTGGGGTCATGTCTCTGGGGTCATGTGACCGTGTCATCTCTCTGGGGTCATGTGACCGTGTCATGTCTCTGGGGTCATGTCTCTGGGGTCATGTGACCGCGTCATGTCTCTGGGGTCATGTCTCTGGGGTCATGTGACCGCGTCATGTCTCTGGGGTCATGTCTCAGGGGTCATGTGACCGCGTCATGTCTCAGGGGTCATGTCTCAGGGGTCATGTGACCGCATTATCTCTGGGGTCATGTCTCAGGGGTCATGTGACCGCGTCATGTCTCAGGGGTCATGTCTCAGGGGTCATGTGACCGCGTCATCTCTGGGGTCATGTCTCTGGGGTCATGTGACCGTGTCATGTCTCTGGGGTCATGTGACCGCGTCATGTCTCTGGGGTCATGTGACCGTGTCATGTCTCTGGGGTCATGTCTCTGGGGTCATGTGACCGTGTCATGTCTCTGGGGTCATGTGACCGCGTCATGTCTCTGGGGTCATGTGACCGTGTCATGTCTCTGGGGTCATGTCTCTGGGGTCATGTCTCAGGGGTCATGTGACCGCATCATCTCTGGGGTCATGTCTCAGGGGTCATGTGACCGCGTCATCTCAGGGGTCATGTCTCAGGGGTCATGTGACCGCGTCATCTCAGGGGTCATGTCTCAGGGGTCATGTGACCGCGTCATGTCTCTGGGGTCATGTGACCGCGTCATCTCTGGGGTCATGTCTCAGGGGTCATGTGACTGCATCATCTCTGGGGTCATGTCTCAGGGGTCATGTGACCGCATCATCTCTGGGGTCATGTCTCAGGGGTCATGTGACCGCATCATCTCAGGGGTCATGTCTCAGGGGTCATGTGACCGCGTCATGTCTCTGGGGTCATGTCTCAGGGGTCATGTGACCCCGTCATCTCTGGGGTCATGTCTCTGGGGTCATGTGACCGTGTCATGTCTCTGGGGTCATGTGACCGCGTCATCTCTGGGGTCATGTGACCGCGTCATGTCTCTGGGGTCATGTCTCAGGGGTCATGTGACCGCATCATCTCAGGGGTCATGTCTCAGGGGTCATGTGACCGTGTCATGTCTCTGGGGTCATGTCTCTGGGGTCATGTCTCAGGGGTCATGTGACCGCGTCATGTCTCTGGGGTCATGTCTCAGGGGTCATGTGACCGCATTATCTCTGGGGTCATGTCTCAGGGGTCATGTGACCGCGTCATGTCTCAGGGGTCATGTCTCAGGGGTCATGTGACCGCATTATCTCTGGGGTCATGTCTCTGGGGTCATGTGACCGTGTCATGTCTCTGGGGTCATGTCTCTGGGGTCATGTCTCAGGGGTCATGTGACCGCGTCATGTCTCAGGGGTCATGTCTCAGGGGTCATGTGACCGCATTATCTCTGGGGTCATGTCTCAGGGGTCATGTGACCGCGTCATGTCTCAGGGGTCATGTCTCAGGGGTCATGTGACCGCATTATCTCTGGGGTCATGTGACCGCACCGCTCACCTGTGTAGGACTCGGGAGGATCGGGGCTGTAGCGTCTCAGCATTGAACCGACCGGCCCCTGATAACGGCAGAGCATCGGGTCGATCACCTCCATGTCCGCATCACTTCCTGTGTCCAGCTGGCAGAGGCCTATGGGACGAGGAAAATCAAGTCATTTTTAGTCAATATTTCAGTTCCATCTGTAAATTTGCAGCCATTTTTTTAAACCGTAAATATCACTGATAGTTTTCACAGTGTATAAAGAGAGCGGAGGGTCAGGTCTTACTGCTCATGTCTTTGGTCGGCATGTAAAAGCCCCCGATGGAGGAGCTGATGTACTGATGGCTGTCGCTCTCAGACGCCATAAACCCGTCCTGGCGCTCCGCTAGCGTTCCCTGAGACGACAGATAGCTCGGGATATCCGCCGGCAGATTCGTCTCATCTACACACGTGAGAGAAACAGGATTATTGGCCGTACTCACATGTGTGTGTGTGAGTGAGTGAGTGCCCACTTTGGCCTTCAGAAACGCTCTTCAGAAACACTACGGGTGACGTCACACACACTACGCCCATATTATATACGGTCTCTGACTTCAGGCCTGACCTGTGTTGGTGACGCTGCAGTCCTCGTTGCGTCGGCGCGTGTGGTAAATGATCACCACCCACACGAGAGACGTCCCCACCACGCAACACACCACCGCGATGATCACGATGCCCACGGTGGTCCAGCCGTCGTCCTCAGACCCTCGTCCCGCCGGGGCCCCGATGGACACGCCCGGGTCACAGTTGGGGTTGGGAATGATGGCCAAACGCACGTTCCCACGCTCCGTTCCCAGAGGATTGGACATCTCGCACGTGTATGTTCCCGCGTCTCCCTCGGCGGCGTCCACGATGATTAGCAGCTGGTTCCCCGCGGCGAAGAAGTGCCGCTCCGTCACGACTAGCGGGCTGTCGTCTTTGGTCCAGTTGAGTCGGGGTGCCGGACTCCCGCCCGCGATACACTGCAGAACCGCGGTCTCACCCGTCGCCACCGAACGGTCCATCAGCGGGCGCAGGAACGACGGCGTTTCTGGAGGAGGAACGGGATGTTACGTAAGGGATCATGTACATCCAGCCGGTTGTTATCTCAGAATAAACCCCCTTCAGGTGTGTGTGTGTGTGTGTGTGTGTGTGTGTTTGTTCACACACCTGAAGGGGGTTTATTCTGAGATAACAACCGGCTGGATGTACATTATCCCGCTTATTATACGGCTACTTGCCACGCAAAATATTGTTCTGAGTCTAAATATCTCAAAAAATGAAGAAAGATTAGTTGTAAAGAAAGACTAACCCAGCACAGTTAGCGTAGCGTTAGCTGAGACGGCTCCTGCGGTGTTCTGGGCCGTGCAGCTGTACACACCGATGTCTTCCGTCTTCACGTCCACCATGAAGAACACGTCGTCTCTCGGCATGACGTGCATCCGGCGCTCACGTGCCGCTGGGAAATCCGTGCCTCCATCTTTCTGCCAGGCGATCTGAGGAGACGGGTGTCCGCTAGCCGCGCACTCCAGTCGAGCCGTAGCTCCCGCGCGGATCGACAGATCCATCGGCATCTTGGTGAAGTACGGCAGCACTGCGGGGACAAAATCAGTTAGGGAAGACAAACTGAAGAATGACAACCTTCCTGTCTCACTTGAAACCAACTTAAACTGCAGTTCCTCCACTGGCCACTAGAGGCCGGCTGCAGAAGAGACTCAGTCCCATAGACCCGCATGTTAAAACGCTCAACTTTACAGCAGGAAAACACACGTTTACAGTCTGGTGCAGAAAGTGGATTTGGTCTATATCGCTAGTTTTGCCCTTCATGACGACTGTGAGGGGGTGAATTTTTTAATAACTCATCCGTTTAAATTATATTAAGCCTTAAAGTTGTGCATAATTAAGGGCGTGGCCACTTGAGTGACAGGTGGATTGCTGCTGATGTCACTGCTAGCCGTTTGTCTGCTGTGTGTTAGCGTCACACACACACTACGCCCATATTATATAGTCTATGGGTGTAACCAGTTTTATCAATTTAAAGTATAAGTTCACTTCCGAATTAAAATCTCCTGATAGTTTACTCTCCCTCACGTCATCCAAGATGTTCATGTCTTTCTTTCTTCACCCTGATTACGTAATGTGTGTCGCATCACAGCTAGAGCAAGACCAGCATTAGTGGGTAAAAGTATATAAATGTTTATTTTGTTATAAATGTCGGCTGGTTTGTCTAGATCAGACTCTTATTCCTCGGCTGGATCGTGTCGAGACTTTGAAGCTGCACTGAAACTCACATCTGGACCTTCGACCCGTTGGACCCCATTGAAGACAATATATGGAGAAACCCTGGAGTGTTTTCCTCAAAAACCTTCATTTCTTTTCAACTGAAGGGGTGAGTAAACTATCAGGAGATTTTAATTCTGAAGTGAACTCCTCCTTTAAGATTTCTCTTGTTAAGAGTGCCTTTTGATTTGAAGACTTACTGTTGACGGTTAGCTTGGCTTTGCTGGAGTACGAGGAGCCGAAGTGGTTGGAGATCACGCACTGGTATTTGCCCTCGCTGGAGAAGTCCACGGTTCTCAGCTGTAGTGTGGTGGTGTACTCCGTGACCTCCGTGACCTCTGTGACCTCCGTGACCTCGCTGACCTGAGACCGCAGGTGGGCCTGGTTGTGGATCTCTGCGTCGTTCAGGACCTCGTTGTCTTTCTTCCAGGCGAAGGTCATCGGGGAGTCGCTGGAACTGGCCGCCGAACACACGAAAGTCACGTTCGTGCCTTTAATGGCGGATTGTGTCTCGGGCTGAACCGTGATCTGGGGTTTGGGGAAATCATCTGCAGCGCACAACAACACACGCATGATTTAACAGCCTGAAAACAAAGCTCCTCTTTAAAGGAGTTCACTTTCAAATGAACATTGGCCCATGATTTACTCACCCCTCAAGCCATCCTAGGTGTATATGTAGAGATGCACCGATGTGAAAATTGTGGCCGATACCGATAACCGATATTAATATTGCTGTTATGGCCGATACCGATATTTACCGATGTCGATATCTCTGTATAGAAAACACATAGCGAGGATTAGGGCTGCACCATATTGGTAAAAAATGACGTTGCGATATAAAAACAATTTCACCAGATGACTTGAATAGCTCTATTTGGAAAGAATGAATCATTCTAGAATGACTGGGGTGGTTTTGTCATGGAGTAAATCCGAGAAACTAATATTAATAGAATGTTAACTAATGTAGTTAACTAGACTTTAATAAATTGAACCTTATTCAGGGTTTCTGCAGGGTTTAGTCAGTCAAATTTAAGACTTTTTAAGACCTTTTTATGACCATTATGATTTAAATTCATGACCTACACGAATTATGAAAAATAACTTCCTTTCAAAAGTCTTTTTTTTTTTATTGACTTTCATTAAAAGTAATAAGTTTCATTATTTAAAGGTTCCATTTTCTTAAGAGTAACAAACTGAAGGCTCCCTTTTCTCAATAAGTCTCAATAACACAGGAACAACACTCAACAATTATCACGATAATATATATCAGTCAATATAGATAATTATCACGATAAATGTCAATTCTTTATTTCTTTCAAGTTTAAAGGCAAATTTTCTTCTCCTAACTGAAAGTTGTAGAAACCAGACCGTTAATTGTGGTTTTAAACTACTCTTTATTGTCAGAACATATCATGACAAACACTTGCCAAACAGGTAAACATTTCACAAATCTGAGGTAGAACATTCAAACATGTGTAATTTTTCCTTAACAAAATTAATATCTTTATTGGAAAATTAATTTCTTAGTTTCTGCATGTGCTAATGGGGGATATTGTTTCAAGTCTTGAAACAGGTTTGTGTTGCCTGACTTTGATGGCACGTTTCTTCATGAAATGTATGAAAAACAGTATAGCCTAAATACATTAAATACTGTAATTATATTCCATTAGTCCTTTAATACATTGTCTATATTAATAATATAATACACTTCAATATGTATATCCCACATTTCATGGTGCAGTTAATATAATAGGCAAACGTTATAGTAGCCTAAATCCATGGGAATTATGGGAATTTGTAGACGGAAAAGCTTCCGACTGTCTCGTTGCGCACAGTGTTTCTCCTGTTCGTCAGCGCCGTTTCATCTGCCTTTAAACTGGTTTAAATCCCTGAGACATTTGTGTTCTAAGCTGAATTCAAGCGCTTCTCACTGGATCTCGTGAGCGAGACCGATTAGAGTAAACCAGAACGCGTCTGCTCTAGTGAGCTCGCGCTGCCGTTTGGACTTTGAGCCGAGCGCATAAACAGTCCGGGAGGCGCGCGCGGTTCAAATGAGTTTCGTTATAGAGAAAAAAATATATCGCGATAATGAATGAATGAGCATATCAATTTAAGACGTGGCTAAATGTAACTTATGACCTTGTATGGAAAATCCGGACGTTTTTATGACTTTTTATGGCCTAAAATTCTTATTATTAAAGGTGCTCTAAGCGATGTCACGCGTTTTTTAGGCCAAAACATTTTTTGTCACATACAGCAAACATCTCCTCACTATCCACTGGCTGCCTGTCCCCTGAACACACTGTAAAGAAACGCGATCTCTGTAGACAGCCCAGGCTCCACAAACAGCAACAAAAGCAAACTGCGGCGACCCGCTCCCCGAAACATAACAAACTGTTCCAGCCAATGACCGACAAGAAGGGTTTGGGGGCGGGGTTTGGGGGGTTAGTGTGCGGATGAGGAGGAGGGAGGGTCTAGCTAGCCTCCGTTTTGTTTGACAATAGTTCGAACGTCAACAAGAAGTGATGTCACCCAGGATCGCTTAGAGAACCTTTAAATTTAAGACGTTTTATGACTTTTTATGACTCCGCGGAAAGTAACCCTGCTTATTGTAAAGTGTTTCCGATTTATGTCTCTTGAGTTCAGTGTTGGACAGATCACAGATCAGTTGTTTTAACCATTCATTAAAGTGAATCGGTTCAAAGGAGTCATTAGTTCGCGAATCGGACGTGTCATTAACGGACCACGGCACACGTTGTGTGATTGTCCCGGCAGTTTAGGACATCGCACAAGATTTGTCTCAACACAGAAAACATTTCATCACTAGATAGATTTTTGTTTTGTTTATTGAAAGTGTGGTTTATGTCATCTGAATGTGTGGAAAGCTTTTCAGAGAAGATAAGGTAACGTTTTAGCACAATTCACGACCAGTGGTAGTTCAGAAAAAAAAACTTCGGTCTTCCGACCTTTTATCATCGTGTATTCTCAAAGATATTCAGTCAACTCAATGCATTAATATGCGCGAGGGAGGGAGAGAGAGCAAAACCGTCTGAAGACGGTGTGCGCGCGACCGGGGCTTTCACTCGCTCTGCTCGTTCCCTCAGTTAAACAAGCGCAGCAGTCGGTCATCTACATCACTCACCGGTCAAATAAGGCTTCGGCGGGACAAAAATACGCCTTAGTAAGGCTGACAGAAAACAGCGTGCAAGTTCCAGTCTTCTTGCGCTTGATGTTTAAACTGACAGGACTTGAGCTTGTAATGAATGCTCTCGTGCAAAAACAAACATCCCCACCCCCGCACTCACATATACACACGAATGATTATCGGCCTGTTCACATCGGCCCTATTTTGACATCGGAACGATACCGATGTGTAAAAAATTGACCATATCGGCCGATGTTATATCGGCGGCCGATATATCGTGCATCACTAATATCAGTCGATATCGATAATTATCACGATAAATGTCAAATCTTTATTTCTTTCAAGTTTAAAGGCAGATTTTTGCTCCTTAGTGAAAGTTGTATAAACCAGAGCGTTAATTGTGGTTTTAACTCTTTATTGTCAGAACATATCATGACAAACACTTGCCAAACAGGTGAACATTTCACAAATCTGAGGTAGAACATTCAAATATTTGTCATTTTTCCTTAACAAAATTAATATCTGAATAGAAAAATATTTCTTCAGCACAGTTGGCAGTGCAGGCTGCAATATTCAAATTACATGTTTTGTCTCGAAATGCATATTTGACAGTGAGTTGACAGTAAATCTGCATCCTAACTCAAGCTAATGCTACTCTGTTAAATTTATGTTCATTAACAAAAACTGTAACATCTGTTTAAAAAAACACATTTTTATTTGGTTAAATGTAATATTCTGACTGTTTGAGTTTTAATAAAATTAACCATTGGTCATCCAGTACCATGCATTTAGATCATGATAACCACAGATAAAACCAGGCATAGCCTAACTTATAGCACCTCACTATCATGGCAAAATGTAACTTTATGGTTTCTATGGTATTTGTATGAAAAACAGTAGCCTAACAGTTAAATACATTATTAAATACTGTAATTATATTCCATTAGTCATTTAATACATTGTCTACATTAATAATATTATACAATTCAATATGTATCCCACATTTCATGGTGCAGTTAATATTACTAGGCTAACCTTACAGTAAATCCATGGTAGCCTAAATGGATTCAGTATCAATTCAGATTCTGACTGTATCGTTGCGCGCAGTGCTTCTCCTGTTTGTCAGCGGTGTTTCATCTGCCTTTAAACATTTGTGTTCTTCGCTGAAGGCGCGCGGTTCAAATGAGTTTCGTTCCGCTTTTGGCGCATAAACATTATCGAACATTTATCGACCTCTTGATATCGTTTTATCGAGAAAAATTATATCGCGATAATTATCGTTATCGTTTTATCGCCCAGCCCTAGTTTAAATTAATAAATTTTTAGCTAACTGTGACTTTGCATATGTACATTTCTGAAATACATTTCTCTATCTAAACTGTAATGTGGACTCATGCACTTTCTGTAAAGCTGCTTTAAATGATGTGTATTGTGTAGCGCTGTGGGAATTAACACATTCATCTTTGCGATTCATTTGAGATGTTTAACGCACTAAAAAAAAAATACCGCAATTGACGCAGCACTTAATCGTGCCGCTGTGATTCATACGTACAGCTCCGTCAGCTTCTTCATCTGAGAGAAGGCGTTGGCCTGCAGCGACATGATGGCGTTGTTGCTCAAATCCCTGTGACGTGAGGATGGAGAACACGTTTAGGAACGAACACACATCATCCTCATCAAACATTAGTGATCTGAAAGAGACTCACAGTTGCTCCAGCTCGTCCAGGCCTGTGAAAGACTTCCTGGTGACCGATCGGATGCGGTTCCCTTGGAGGAACCTGAGGAGCAGAACAACAACTCGTTTGGTGTCCTCGGCACTGATGCTGACGTGCAGCGATCATTAGTCAAAACTACACTTATTCACACACCTTCAACATTATCAGTTTATCCGCTATAGTTTAGGAAGTGGTGATAAATATGAGCAGAACTCAGTGGATATTTGACTGGTTTTGTCCGTCCTTCTGTTAGACTCTCACACATGAGTTATGTTGAATATCTGTCAGCTGTTAAATTTAACTACACAATTAGATAATACCAGTTTAGCTCAACCAGTGACCAAGCAATGCTTCATGTTGTTCAGTGTGTGTGTAAAAAGAGCATTAGCAATTACAGAAAACACACTGAAGAAAACATGATCAGCTCAAAGTGGAGGAATCATTGTCACTGGTAGTCACTGGATGAAGAATATTTGTGTGTAATATGTCACAGTTTACTTTATTTTGCTCTCCTCACTTACATAATGAACTATAGAGTCCTGCACACACTAGTAAAGCAAAATATAAAAAATGATATCTGGTGTCTGAATAATGTTTGGTTTGACTGTAGACTGAGATAACATGATCCTGTAAACACTCACAGCTTCCTCAGATTGTCCAGAGCAGAGAAAGGGCCGTTCATGTCCTCGATGGTCCATGAGATCTCGTTACACTTCAGATCTCTAAAGCAAGAGAAAGCAGAGCAAACCACAGTGTTAAAGTCCACACCCAGAAAACACCAGTCACTGAGCAGCCCAGGCCTCGTGTTCGAGCTAAAAATGAGCACGCAGCAAACCAGACGCTCGAAACCTGCTGAAACCGGCTGGCTGCATACTAATTCCTGCTAGCAATGTGCTAAAACATGCTAATCATGGCAGTAACATGCTAAAAATGCTTGCAACATGCCATTTCATGCTAGCAATGTGCTAAAACATGCTTTAGTCGCCTTTGGCTTGCTTATTTGGGGACATTTAATATTCAACAATATTATTGATCTGCCTGCATTGACACCATTATATTATATTATGATGGACAGATGCACTTTTATGGACTTCAAAACAGAAACACTCATTCACTGCCATTATAAAGCTTGGAAGAGCCAGGACATTTTTTAACATAACTCTGATTGTATTCGTCTGAAAGAAGAGTGTCATGTACACCTAGGATGAGTAAATCATGGGCTAATGTTCATTTTTGGGTGAACTCTCCCTTTAATAAACTGCTCATTCACTGAAAGCAGAAGTGTTGAAGTGTTCCAGGAGTCGGACTCACAGCGTCTGCAAGTTGGCGAGGCCTCGAAACGCTCCGTCGGCGATGAAACTGACGCGGTTGTGTCCGACGTGGAGCTGCTCGAGGACACTGAGTCCGACGAAACTGCCTTCCTCCAAACGGGTCAGCTGGTTCCAGTTCAGATCCCTGGCAGACACACAACAGATACATCAGTCCAGCATCCCACGGTGTGTTTGAACGTCACGAAAGAGGGAGCTGAGGTATCCCTCTTAGCCTTTAACTGAGAGTCACATGCTGTGTCTGAAACACTGGGTTTGAAACTTAATAAAAAGTATGTTCTGTATGATATTAATGTGTGTAGTATGAATGAGATTCGGACGTTCTACATCTAAAGTCTAAAAGAGCTTAAACTGGACTTTAAAAAAGCTTAAACTAGTCTGATGTAGAATTCATCTAAAATAATTCTGTATTTTCAGCTTCAGAATCATGAATATTTGTATTCTGGTGTCACTATTGTCCTGTGCATTGGGTTTCCAGTCCAGTCCAAGTTACACCCACAATGTAATAGCAAATTTACCATTTTAATCAAAAATCTTATCATGTTTCTTAGAGTATCGCAATAATATCGTATCATGAGTTCGGTATCGTGACATGAGGATAATCTATCCAACAGAACGATGAAAGAAGACAACGCAGCCGTACGCAAACACACACATGACTCCTGTGCAGGCATGATGGGGCACACACACACACACACACACACACACACACGTGACTCACAGCTCGGAGAGTTTCTGGCAGAACTCCCAGGCGTCGGCTCTGATGCGGATGATGGTGTTGTGCGACAGATGAAGTTTCTGCAGCGTCAGGAGCCCGTAGAGCCAGCCTTTACTCACCTCCGTCAGGTTATTGTGCTCCAGCTGTCTGCTCACACACACACACACAGGTTTGTTGTGCAATATTTGTGAGGACATTCCATAGGCGTAATGGTTTTTATACTGTACAAACTGTATATTCTGTCCCCCTACACTAACCCGACCCCTAAACCTGCCCATCACACACACGCACACACGCACACACACACACACACACACACACACACACTAACCCGACCCCTAAACCTACCCATCTCACTCACACACACACACACACACGACCCCTAAACCGCCCCATCACACAGACACACACACACACACTAAACCGACCCCTAAACCGCCCCATCACTCACACACACACACACACTAAACCGACCCCTGAAACCTACCCATCACTCACACACACACACACTAAACCGACCCCTAAACCGCCCCATAACACAGACACACAGACTAACCCGACCCCTGAAACCTACCCATCACACACACACACACACACGAGCCCCTAAGCGCTGGAGTAAAGCATGAGAGCAGGACTTCACTCACAGCACTTCCATGTTGTTGAGACCCCAGAAAGCCCCGTCCATGAGGCGTGTGATGCCGTTCCTCTGGATCTTCAGCGAGCGAAGGCCGTGGAGTCCGTGAAACGCCAGACCCTCGATACGCCGAACACGGTTCCTGCTCAGCTCTCTGTCGATCACACACACACACACACACACGAGTCACATGAAATCGCACTTAAATCGATTTGGCTTCTCTGGATTATGAAGTGGCGAATGCTGTGATTGTCAGTGATGTGCAGCGTGTCAGTGAAGCACGGCTCAGGAAACGCGGCTCGCTCTGAAAGCACTGCGAGTTCCAGTCGCTTATAACGTGCGTTTGAAAAAGCAACAACATCTTTCCAGACATGAGACGCATTTATGAACCTCTCGTCCAACAAAAGACAACATTTAATAACACGCTTTTACTCCAAACTCACTTCATCAGGACAGCTGAGCTCGTCCTCCTGTGAGATGATGCGCTTCTCACACAGAAGACGGCAGTCGTGTGTTTATTAGTCGTGTTTCATCACAGCGTTTCAGTCTTCTGTTTATGCAGATACAGCGATAGGGGTTTCCTGGAATGATGTGTGTTATCGTACTTATATGTGCTGTGTGTGTGTGTGTGTGTGTGACGCCCTCTGGTGTTCAGAGGGATATGTGCTGTGTGTGTGTGTGTGTGTGTGTGTGAGATGCCCTCTGGTGTTCAGATGGAGCATTTACTACTGATCAGCCGCTGCACTGACAAACTGCGCATAAAACAGCCATGGCCAAATCACATGTTGTTTCATTGCGATTAATCATGCAGCTGTAGTGTGGACCGATGGAACGAGACGTGAGCGAGTGTGTGTGTGTGTGTTCACTTACAGGGTCTGCAGGTGCGGGAGCGGGAAGATCTTGGGCGGGACGGAGCTCAGCCGGTTCTTGTTGAGTTTTAACACCAGCAGCGAGTTGGACAGGTTACTGAAGCAGCCGTGCTCCAGCGTGGAGATACGGTTGTTATTCATCAACCTGCAAACACACAATTCAAACACAGATTCATGACATGCAGAGATGCCGATTCACAGAAGCCGTAGTTAATGACAGCTTTAGCTATAGATAATAAACTACTTCTGTTCTCAGTCTTTTTGGTTTTTGGAATCAGCTATATAAGAACTTAAAGGTTCTCTAAGCGATCCTGGTTGACGTCACTTCTTGTTGACGTTTGAACTATTGTCAAACAAAACGGAGGCTAGCTAGACCCTCCCTCCTCCTCATCCGCACACTAACCCCCCAAACCACACCTCCAAACCCTTCTTGTCGGTCATTGGCTGGAACAGTTTGTTATGTTTCGTGGAGCGGGTATTTTGGAGCTGCAGTTTGTTTTTGTTGCTGTTTGTGGAGCCTGGGCTGTCTACAGAGATCGCGTTTCTTTACAGTGTGTTCAGGGGACAGGCAGCCAGCGGATAGTGAGGAGATGTTTGCTGTATGTGACAAAAAATGTTTTGGCCTAAAAAACGCGTGACATCGCTTAGAGCACCTTTAAACTAGTCTGAAAGAGCTTAGACTTGTTTTAAAAGTGCTTAACTAGCCAGCATGTTACAGTTATTCTGAAAAGAATATAAATAAGCCTAAAATAGCTTAAACTATTCTAAAAAAGCTCAAACTAGACTTAAAAAGGCTTAAATTAGTCTGAAAAGTGCTTAAACTAGTCTAAAAGTGCTTAAAGCTCCAGTCCGTAGCTTTTCCTCTTTGTCGCCATCTCTGTTTGAAGTCTGCAATTGCAGTCATTCGCGGAATTATTAATTTTACGTGAGTTGTACATCGGCATGAAACAGCGCGGATGAACACAATGTTGTGAGGAGAGTGCGCGTCACGGCTGTCTGTCACAGCGCCGGTGTGGATACTGGCATTCAGAATCACACATTCTACTTTTGGAAGTACAGGATGACCAACATAAGAATTTTCACCGGAAAATGTCATCTGAACAAGTAACATTCACTTTTGTTCAGATCAACTAAGGGGAAAATGCATTGCACTGCAGTAAATCGCGCTGATTAAATCTAACGATCGCTTATCATGTCGAACCGTGCAAATTATACTTTGTTCTCAAATTGTTAATGTTAACAACATCAGCTTTGCGTGACTACATTTAATGTGTTTTATGGTTACCTGTAGTTCAGAATTCATATTCTCCATAGCTAAACGAGAAAGGCACAACAAAGGAAACTCCATAACTGTGTGAATTAAGCAAACAATTGTGGTACTGTTACACGATTGAACTATTGAAATGTCTTACTTGTCCAGCAGAAAAAAGCGTCTCTTCTTCCGTTTTGAACCCCTTCAAAACACGGAGTTCACGCACCAAACGCCCTGCCTTCCTTGTGTTCACATGAGACGGTTGCTGTCTTTCTCTAGCCACTTTAAATCCGAAGTACGAAGTATTTTGGGTTTTATAACTGCTGAATCTCCAGTTGACATTGATGATTGTCGTTTGGATCTTTCTGGATCCGCCATAAGTTCAATTATGTAAAGTGCTGCGAGAAAAGGCATCTCTACTCTCCCCAACGTCAACATCCTCACGCGCAGTATAGCTAGCCGAGACTCCTTCTTTATGTGTACGGATGTGACGTAATGACGCAAAGACATGCTCGAATTTCCCGCGGAAACCCACCAGTACCACTGGAAATAAAATCATTATTACAAGCTAACCGTTTTGAATCGAGCTACGGCAAGCAGATAGTTTTGAACACTGGCTGAATATGTTTTTTTTTAAATAATTATTTTGGATTATTTTTAACTTGAAAAAAGTTACGGACAGCAGCTTTAAACTAGTCTGAAAAGAATATAAATGAGCCTAAAATAGCTTAAAGGGTTAGTTCACCCAAAAATGAAAATTAAGTCATTAATTACTCACCCCCATGCTGTACCAACCCCGTAAGACCTTCGTTCATCTTCGGAACACAAATGAAGATATTTTTGATTAAATCTGAGAGCTGGATCACTGCTACATAGGCTGCCTAAGGGACTGACACTTGACGGCCTAGAAAGTCATTAAAGAAAATGTTTAAATGTTTCATGTGCCTACAGTGGCTCCACTATAAGTTTATCAAGCGACGAGAATACTTTTTGTGCGGAAAAAAACCTAAAATAACGACTTTATTCGACTATTCCATTGCTTCCTTGTGGGCCTGAGACGAGAGTTCAAGAGATTTCCAGGACGCATGCGCGAGAACTGACACTCTTCTTCTACTACACAGCGCGCGTCTTACAAGCAGAGGAAGACGCGCGCTGTACATAGTAGTAGAAGAAGAGTGTCAGTTCTCGCGCATGCGTCCTGGAAATCTCTTGAACTCTGTCACACACACACACACACACACACACACACACACACACACACACACACACACACACACACACTCACACACACAGTAGAGGCCGAAAGTGATGTGCACTTGTTTTTTTTTAATAACCTAACAAGATTGCGTAAACCATCTAAATATTAGGAATAAACAGGTGAAACTCGAAAAATTAGATTATCGTGCAAAAGTTCATGTATTTCAGTAATTCAAATTAAAAGGTGAAACTAATATATTTAGTATATATATAACTATATACATATGCATGATTATACTTTTCAGAGGGCCGACATTTCTGTATTTAAAATCCTTTTTTTATTGATTTCATGTAATATTCTAATTTTCTGAGATTTTGAATTTGGGGTTCCCTATCAAGGCTACGGAACTTCGACATTACGGATGTCGTATATGGGAACTCCTCTCCTCCTTCACTTCCGCTGAAATCTTATAGGCTAACGCCAGCAAAGCTGGCCAATTGACGCAAATATGCAAATACTGAACATGCAGTATAAGTACAATGCAGCGTCAATCCTTCTTTAGAATCTCTCTCTTCACGCTCAAATCGTGTGCTAGATAGCTGATACTACAACAAACCTAAGGATTATTTCACGCCGTCGTCGAAGGTGCGCCGAAGATACGCTTACTGTCTTCTGCATCCGATGGCGACTATCTGCAACTTGTGCTCGGGCCCCATCGTGCCCCCGGACACGCACCTGTTCTGTATCGCATGCATGGGGCTGGCCCATGCTGAGTCGGCCCTCGGGGATGGCGGGTCGTGCGAGCACTGCGCGGACATGTCCCTTCGAGCTCTCAAGGCCAGGCGGGATGAGGCTCGTGCAGCTGCGGGGATTGGGCCCACTGCCGCCACCGAGCCGCTGGTGGGCCCCCCCCAACCGCGGAGTCGAGATACGGCCTCCGGTGAGTTTCCCCGATGCCCCCCTCGTGAGGTCGCGGACTTCGTGTCTTTCGGGGTGAGCGAGGAGGAAGACTCCATGTCTCTGTCTGCCTCCGAGACCGACTGGGGCGCGGAACAGGCCGCCCCGGACTTAGCGGCTTCGGAACAGGACACCCCGGCGGACCTACAGGACGAGCTTTTTCGCATCCTCTCCAAGGCCGTCGAGGATTTGGACCTCTCTTGGAAGGCCCCGGATGAACCCTCCAAGAGCAAGCTAGACACGTGGTTCCTTCAATCGAGCCGCCGCCAGGCCGCTTCGAGGAGAGGAACCCCGTTCTTTCCTGACGTTCATGAGCACGTGGTGAAGTCGTGGGCGGCCCCGCAATCGGCGCGCACCCTCACTTCCACCCAGGCCATGTTTGCCCCCGTGGACGAGGCGGGGGACCACGGCTACCTCCGAATCCCCCCCGTCGAGGAGACCGTAGCCGCGCATCTCTGCCCATCGGCTCCCGCCCTAGGCTCGGACCGCAGCCTGCCGTCCAAAGCCTGCAGATTCACGGCCCACCAGGTTAACAAGGCTTATGGAGCGGCGGGGGAGGCGGTGTCTGCACTGCACGCCATGGCCGTGCTCCAGGTGATGCAGGCGAAGCTGTTGAAGTCGCTGGATGGCGCCGCCTCTGTCGACGCTGACGCCATCCGGGACCTCCGTTCAGCCACGGATCTCGCGCTCTTGGCCACGAAGCGCTCAGCTCAGGCGGTAGGCCGTTCGATGGGGTTCATGGTGGTCCTCCACAGGCACCTGTGGCTCACCCTTTCCGACGTTCAAGAGGCTGACAGAAAGACGCTGCTGAACGCACCGATCTCCCCAGCAGGCCTGTTCGGGGATGCCGTCGAAAAGGTCACCGAGAGATACTCCGAGACCCAGAAGAAGGCAAAGGCGATGAGTCACGTCATCCCTCGGAGGGCGCCGCCGCCTCCGCTGCATCCTCGCTCTCGCTCGTCATCTGCCTCGGGCCGCCAACCTCAAGCGGCGGCGAGACGGCAGTCAGCACCTCGCCAGGAGCCGGATGCTCACAGAGGGCGGAGCAACCAGTGGCAGGGTGCGGGGAAGAAGCGGGCGGCCCAGAGAAGTCCGCGCAGGAAGGTCGTTGCGTCTCCAGCGAGACCCAAGAAATCGTCCTGACCGCCCGGGCAAGAGGGGAAGAGAGCGCCAGACCGGCCCTGCTCCAAAGCGCCGCGCTCTTCAGCACATAGTCCCTCGGCGTTTCACGAGCGACGTGTGCGATTGTTTTGTAAATGCTGTTGCATGTATGTGTTCAATAAAGCAAAATACTTGTTCACGAACAGAGTTTTTTTCCCCTCCTGCACCACACACCGTGTTACCCGCCCTGCCTACGAGCAGTGCAGAGTCACGGTTGTTAACTATAAGGGCCCCTCGCGGCCGCGAGGTGTTCATTCACAGCCCACACACAGCGGCGATGACCGCAGGTTTAGATCAGCCCACACTGAGTCACTTTCAGGCAGCGTGGGAGGCTATTCCGGGCATTTCTCCGTGGGTCCTAAATATAATTCGGCACGGGTACACACTTCAGTTCAAACGCAGACCACCCCGCTTCCGCGGCGTAATTCAGTCGTTAACCTTGCCCCAAAACGCTCATGTCCTGAGGCAGGAGGTGTGCAGCCTGCTCGAGAAAAAAGCGATAGAGCCGGTTCCCCCGAGCGAGTGGGAAGGCGGGTTCCACAGCCGCTATTTCGTAGTGCCGAAGAAGGGAGGGGGTCTCCGCCCCATTCTGGA